GATTATAGAAGCATTATAGGCTTAGAGGGGGAAGTTGAATTAATGCTGTGTGATGATGCAGGAAGGAGGGGGACTGATTATGAGTGTGTTTGCTTTGTGGGATTAGAATGTGAGGACTGTTGTTTAATGTTTGGTGTAAAGATATTTTGTCCATGTTAATGGCATTTGTAGTGAGAACTGTGGGTAAAGAAAGTTAACCCCCAGAAGCAGAAGAGGGCTTATTGTTAAATTGTTGTGAAAATTGTGATCTGTTCATATGGTTTCTGTATTTTGTAGGTCTTCTTTTAGACCAGCTTAAATGTTTTAAGCCACCATATATATACATATATATATATATATGATGCAGTTCAAATGAGAATCAAGATTAGTTCAAATTGAACCAAGATTAGTTTTTATTTGAACTAGTCTCTATATGTATATATATTTTACAAATATACATACTTTTATTTAGGGTATGTCATATTTCGAAAAACAATATTTATAGAAATAAAATATTTAATGGTATAAGTACACGTTTTATAGTTCACATAGTATGGCACTTTGACTTGACTAACCGTTTAGCATCACATTGAGTGTATTCTGTTCCTGCCAAAGGAGAACCCAAGTATTGTTCAGATAAAAATTACAACTTTCACAAAAGGGGTATGTTTGCAAATTTTTCTATGTCAAAGGAGTGCATTTGCAAATTTGGATAATAAAACCANAAAGAAAAAGACACTCATCTCAGTTTGAGCCCCCCCTCAGAAACTGCAACTAGTTCTCATATACAACAACATATACACACAAATGGGACTGAATGAGAATTGATTAGATGACAACTTTTTAGAATATTACACATATACATTGTTTGTACACAGCTGAATTAGTGAGATTAAGGACCATTCCCCGTAATATTAGTTATCTTGGGCTGCTACAAAATAAAACACGCGTGTAACAAAATCGCCAAAGACTCCATCTTCTGGTCATATGGATGGTTAGCATGCCTCGATTGTTAACAGTCAAAAATAGAATCAGTTCTTCTACGGGTCTCTTTCATGCTGTTCATAAACGGGCGTTTTGTATTATATGTGTCCTCAGACTATTGTCTTTAACCTGTGATAATCGATCGAAAAATAAAAAAAAATGAAGCATCGAAAATGAATGCTGCAGAAAATAAGGAATGGCAAAGTGAGAAGTTTTATGTACCTGCATGGCTGCTAATGAAGATAGAACATAAGTGCATCTCTCGAGCAAAGCTTGTTCTTTCGTGGTCACTTTTACAAGTTCGCTCGACAAAGAATTTAATTTTTCAACCTGCAATTGCCAGAAGATGTTCAGAAAATGAAACAGACCTCCTTTCTGAAAGTTTTTCCTATTAGGAATTTTGTTTGCAATCCAAAACGATGGATGGTTCATTTTCTCTCCTTTTTTAGTAAATAGAGTGGATCTCAAAGTATTTTAACAAAATCGAAATCGAGCAATTTAGGAGATCACCATTGGCAGAAGAAAATATATGGAGGGTGCCATTGTCTGCATAATGTCAAAAGCCGAGCCAATTGCATCATGCATGCTTTGGACATTCCCCTGTAGAGAAATTTATACAAAATTGAGTTGGCCAAAACTATATCATAGATTAATTTGCATAATTTAAAAGAGAAAGCGGGGTTAGGCACAGACAATTGCTCCAACAACTGGAAGACAAAGAGTACTAGCGGTTAAAGCTTCGATTGCTCCGAGTAAAGAAATCGAGTGCTCTTTATCCAGAGAAGCCCATTCTTCCAAAAAAGTCGTCTAGCAAAAGAAAATCACTGATCAGATAATAAATCGTGACAAAAAGAATTCAATCACGTGAAAGAGTAACTATATCTTCAAAGAATTTTCGAGTGCATTCATGAAGAACTGGTTTATATATTTAAGAAATTGATAACCAGTGCTGAATAGTGAATAAAGCTTACTTCTCTCTTAAGAATGGTGGCTAGCTTCAACTTTTGCCTTAGCAGATGCAATCTGTGTCGTTTTTTGGTGACTGTTCCTCGTAGATCAGAGATTGTTATCCACGCATTCCATAGATGTTTCTGGTATATTCAGTGAGGTTAATGTTATTTTAATTTTCATCCCTCTTTTTTCACACCAAATAGAGATATACACTTCACATTCTCAAGTTTGAAACAGGCTTCCAGCATAAAAGAAGACAATTGTTTTAGTAACTGTAGAGAAATTGCTCTGTATAAAAAGTAATAGTTCTTTAATTCTGTTTAAATTTAAACATTCCATTGTAATCTACATCATCTTTCCATCTGGCAAATTTTGTTTTATGAAGCATTCGCATTCAATGATTGGTACACTCCAAATTCCTCTAGACGATGATATTCTAAAGGATCAGCTGTAAGCATCTAGCAAATTTTGTTGATCGCCCTCTCAGCTAAAAGGTGCATTTTATTAAAACCACAACTAAAATCAAACACCCCATTTTATCTCACATGATTCCATCACATCTACACACTTCTTAAATATCACACCATTTTCCCCACAACATCATTCACAATCATCATTGCAAAAAAGAATCCATAATAACCGAATAAACAAAATTAAAAAGAAAAAAAAAAATTCACCTTTACACTGCGTTGCTGCACACGCAAGACCCCTTCAGCTCGAGCATTCACGAACCTCCACTGCAAGTGCCGATTATACAAAAGCCTCAAAAAATGTGCATCTAATATTCCATTCTCCCCGACTTTCCCTCTCCTAACATCCACAGCGTAGCTAAGAACCGAAGGCATCACACCAAAACCGTTCCCAATGAAGAAGCTATTATCAGCATTTCTCATACGAGACGGGCTTGGGCTTGGGCTTTTCCCCCTTGGCTGAGAAGCCATAATAGTATTTCCACGAACAGGAGACAATAACGGGCCATTACTCATAAACTTTTTCGATTTAGGTGGCACAATCAGTTTCGGCCCACAACTATTATTATCCTGCAGCCTCCTCAGTCGACTATTAGTCTCCTGCCAGAATCGGGCCGAAGCAGCAATGGCTCGAGGCCCGCTTGACCTGTGGACTCCCGAAGTACTGTCTGAAGACATGCTGTCTGAATCAGAGGTTGTAATAATATCATAAGGATGCATCAATAGTTCATTTTTTACCGAATTCCTATCATGGGCTCGTTCGACCGAATCAAGACTCAACCTGCCACTGCACGAAAGCCTTCTCTCGTTAAAGGGCCCGATTAGCTTACTGGAACTTCTCGATAGGTGATTTGAAGCCCGGTTCTTGCCGGGCCAGAGATGGTGATCGGCGGATTTCGGATTTTTTTCGAGCTGATCCTTTGAACTCTCAGCTTTACCTTCTGGCAAAGGAGTAACAACAGTCCTTTTTCTTTCGGGTGTTGCTTTTCTCACAGTAGTTGGATTAGGGGTAGAATGGGAAACTTTAGTTTTGCTAACAGGCAAAGAGAAGGATTCACCTTGAAAGGAAACTGCTAGGCTCCTGGTGGAGGTGACGAGCAGCTTAGAGGCGGCTGAGATAACGGCGCCGCCGCTTCTGGAATCTAGATCCGCCGTCAAATGCCTCACCGCCGCCGGCCGCCGTCTGTCTACAGAAACAGACCTCTTGGAGGAGGTCAGAGAAGGCGAATTTCTCGAGCTACTCGAGACCGACGGCGAAGGGAACCTTCTAGAAGAGGCGACAGAGGATGAATTTGGAGTGGAAGTGGAAGGCGACATGTACCGAGAGGACACGGTTTTTGATTTGGGCTTTCTGGGGTTGCTCGGAGAGGACCCATTGCCGTTATCCTTCTCGGACGGCAGCAACGGCGGCCTGGCGGCGGCGGCGGAGGGGGTTTTGGGGTTTCGCGGGTCGGGCGTCGTTGAAGCGGCTCCTCCGGTAACGGCAGCCACCATTATTCGACAATCAAAAAGCTCAAGAAGAAGGGTTTTGCAAGAACCCACCACTCACATCTTGATTTTCGAGGAACAAACAGACTTATTATTACCCATCAGAATCCCCCTTTGACGACGACATTGTTGGACCTGTAAGAGAGATCACAAGACACCACTGTAGCTCAAAAAACCGTAATGGGCCTTCAAAAGGTTCCACATTTTATCTACTTCTGAGGGTCTAAGTTGCAAGCTTGCAGCACAGCCAATTTGGGTGAGCAAATTTGGAGAGAAATTGGAATTTTAGGCAAGAATTAAGAGAGAGAGAGAGAGAGAGAGAAAGAGAGAGGTGAGGTTGGGGCAGTGGTGTTGTGGGTACATTCCTCTGTGGGTGGATTTCTAATTTAGAGAATAAGTGTCCATAATTAATTAACCGATAATTATGTTTTAATGATGTTCAGTTTTCATTGATGATGATATTAAACGTTATGTTGGTGAAGAAATTGTTATTTAAAACTGGAAAAAATTCATGTAGATGCGTGCTTGAGTGTGTATTCTAAAGGTTAAAAAAACAAGATTCTACCCTTAAACTGAGGGTTAGCGCATTTTAATGAAGGTTTCATCCCAATAATATTTAAAAAACATACATTATTAAATTATTTTATATTTTTATTGTTTTATTAATATAATTCTAAAATAAATCTCGACTAGTGCAATAGTACTACGCAGGTGTTGGGTTAATAAATATATGATAAAATTATTGAATAAAAATTTTATTTAAAATTTGTTATGGACTAATAGATGAAAAAAAAATAGACAGTGCATGAAGCGGTTTGTAAATCATAATTTAGGAGAAAAATATGAAAAAAATTATAAGATGTTAAGATTGCTACTTGTCAAAACTAAGAAATAAATGTGTACTAATAGAAAAAAGTAACAAAATTAAATGTACACTTACCTAATTTGAAAAAAGTTATTTATGTCCAATACCAAACTTAATTCCAGAGCAAAAATGAATATGCAAACAATAATACGAAGCATGGAATTTCGTCATATCAGCATCCGAAACGTGTTAGTCTACCACTTAGACTCAACACGTTTTGAATTAATATATAAAAATGAATACAATTATTGCTCAAAAAAATCAAGTTGATAATTTCCTATTTATTTATTCATATATGACTAAATACAATTTGTTATTTTAGTGAGTGAGACACCGTCGATTTATCGAAATAGATATTATATTAATGTATTATTGTTGTATTAGAGCATTGGAATTAAATGCCAAAGTACATAATACGGATAGTGGTAGAAAGATCCAGAGTCACTATCCTAACTAATTTAAAGTATACTAATTAGATTTTGCATTCTATTTTACCCAATTTAAAACACAATCACCTTTTAAGGACGATCTAGAAGACTTGAAGTAGATCTTTATTGCAGATTAGGTAAACTAGTACAGACCCGTGCGATGCACGGGGTGCACAATTTTAAGGTTATTTATCCGGGCTTATAATTATATACATGAATAAAGAAAAATGTACGAGATATATATAGTACGTGACCCGTGCGAAGCACGAGATATATTTTTATTTAGAGAATATTATATTATAAGATGCAATATTCAATAAAAGTTTATAATACGCAAAAAAATTGTACAATGTTCAATAAAAGTTTTATAATATTCAAGTGGAGTCTTAAAATCTCTTGTACATTAAGACTACTGATAAAAGAATATTTTAATCAATGAGTTTCCTTTTCTTGTAGCCAAATTGTGAATGTGATTTGAGGAGTACAACAAATCGATATATAGCTGACTTGTTTTTTTCATTGTAGTTTTTTTTTTTATAATGAATTTAAAGATATTATAAAATATAGCAAAAATTAATTTTTTTTATTACAATTAGGAATTTTACTAAATATAAACTCTCAATCTATGGTGTTAATCAACGTTTAAGTCTAAAAAATTAGGAATTTTTACCTCTTTTAATCAATGTTTAAGTCTAAAAAACAATAGAGTTATAAGTTTTTTTTCTACATCTTTTAAAACATTAAATATGAGCATGTTAGGGTTAGCTTGTAAAATAATTAATATATTATCTCACTAAAACATTTATACTAATAAAAATTTAATTTTAGCATATAAATTTATCCATTGATATAAGAGAAAGTAACAGTTTTACTTATTATTGTTCACCATATAATATTTAATTATTATTTTATTATATAATAAAAAATAAATATTGTTAAATAGTGTAGTAAAATTGTTATAAAATTGGCTTAATGGCGGGAAAATACACGACCTTTACGTGTTTGGCCATTTAATCCCAACCTTTAGACCTTGGCAAATAAATACACGACCTTCACATTTTTGGCAACCCGATACCTGGTTTGGTCTGCCGTTAACGGAAATCCTACGTGGCTTGTAAAACTGACGGACACACCAAACGGGCGTCCCAGTCAGCGCCGAGGTGGCATAATCGGGTAGTATAAAAGCCAAATGGGACTCTAAATTGCCCCAAAATCTTCATTCACGAACGAACCCTAATTTCCCCAAAAATCGCCCCAATTTTGCGCTGAACTGCCCGGAAATTCAGAGGGTGTGTGTTCCATATCATCGATTTGCTCCAGAATTCAGAGGGTGTGTCTTCCATATCATCGATTTGACGTCATGGTTGCAAGGTAACTGCTCTTTCTCTCTTGAAATCTTTAATTTGATTTTATATTTTGTAGGGTTCGATTGTTAATCTTTTCCGATTTTTTCAATTTACAGCGATTTCTTTCTATTATTTATCAATCACAAGGGTAGATTTGTGACTGTCGATGGGTATGAGGCGTATTATGGTGATAAAGTTGCCACGGTTACTGGGTTGGATGCAGATAGGCTAGGTTATTTTGACATTGAAGATGAAATAACGAAGTTGGGATATGAAAACTGGGGTAGAATATGTTATAAGCATCGGACAACACGTGAATTTAAAGATATAACAGATGATGCTGGTGTTATGGACTGTTTGGGTCAAATGCAGGGAAACAAAAGATATGTTGAAATATATGTGCAAACTGAACATTTAAAGAAACCGTGTGGGGTTGCTGTGTGTCAACAAGAAAATGGATCTAGGAATAGGGTATCTAAAGTTGCTGAGGTAGATCAAGCAAAGGATACTAGTGAGAAGCTGATTGATACTAGTGACAAGCTGGTTGATACTAGTGACAAGCTGGTTGAGTTTTCTTTAGATGAAAGTGAGGATGAGGACTATGAACCATCTGGAGAATCTTCAAGTGATGATGGTTTGTCTGAGGAAGATTTAGGGACAGATGATGAGGAGTATCTTGAGGCCAGGAGAGAAGTTTTAAACTCTAGAAAGTCACAAGATGCTGGGGATGCAAACATTTCCTGTGCACAGCCATCTGCACATCATGAGGCTGATGACAGCATTACACCTGCAAGAGATATTGAGTCAGAATATGAAGATTCTGAAGGGAATGTGAACACTGATTCATCTAGTGGTGAGGGTTTTGATGATGATGATGATGATAAAGCAAGGCCTAAGAAAAAAAAAATTGTTTATGATGGTAAGGGGGATCTGCAGACATTTCAATTTCAGCTTGGGATGAGGTTTGAAAGCATTGGACAATGTAAGAAGGCAATTCAGAGTTATGCAATATATAATGGCTGCAACATAAGTTTCTTCAGAAGTAGTTCAAGTCAGGTTGAAGCTAGGTGTGAAGTGGGTTGTCCATGGAGGCTTTATGCTAGTCTGATAAAAGGTGAAGGTAGTGTGGCTATCAAGACCTTTGTCAATACCCATAGCTGCCATAGGGACTTGAACACTAAACAAGCAACTGCTTCATGGGTTGCTGGGGAGTATCTACCTATGATTAGGAAGAAGCCTAAGATGAAAATTTCTGACTTAGAGGATTCTATCAGTGAAAAATATGGTGTGCAACCCTCTAGGTGGAAACTGTACAAAGCAAAAACTAGGGCTCTTGAACTGCTTAGAGGTACAGAGGAGGAGCACTATGGAAAACTAAGGAGGTACATTGCAGAGCTTGAAAGGGTTGATAGAAATGGCACATTTCAGCTTGTCTTGGAGAGTGGCAGTGTATTCAAAGGTTTTTATGTTGGTTTTAGTGCACTCAGACAAGGTTTCTTGCAAGGCTGTAGGCCAATAATTGGTTTTGATGGGTGTTTCTTGAAGACCTTTTTAGGAGGTGTTTTATTGTGTGCTGTTGGCAAGGATGGGAACAACCAGATATTTCCCTTGGCATGGGCAGTTGTGGATTCTGAGAATGAGAGCAATTGGAAATGGTTTCTAGATATTCTTTTTCAAGATTTGGGGATATCAGATGGACTTGGATGGACATTTATTAGTGATCAACAAAAGGTTAGTTTTTGAATCATATTACAGGCATTTATATATATATTTCTTTATTTGTCTTGTCTCTAATATTTGTTCTTCTTTAACTCATTATGTAGGGACTCATTGCTGCTATAAGGGATCTCTCACCACATGCAGAACATAGAAACTGTGCACGGCATGTGTACATGAACTGGAAGAAATCTCACAAAGGCAGTGCACTTAAAAGCTGTTTCTGGAGGGTAGTGCATAGCACATACAAGGCAGCCTATAAGGAGGCACTTGAAG